CTCTAGGGCTGTTCCGTCCTTTCCATTGAGGCTGGACCTTCCTCTGGGCTGGACTCAGGGCAGCCTTTCTCCGTGGGTGAACATAAATACATAAAACGAACAGCACACTCTTCACTGCAAAACTAAAAATAGGAAGGTCGGAATCCGGCTCCCCAGACCTCTAACGGTGGGACCACACAGGTGTAGATGCGGATGTTGGGGGGTGCGGCTCCTCCCTCCCCCCCCTTGATTCGGTCCTCCTGGGGAGACAGGAGGGGGATTCTGGGTTTCCGCCAGGAACAGTTCATTCTTTCACTCTGGCTCCCCTTGTCCCCAGCCCATTTGACAGCTCATTTCATTTACGACCCCAGAATGAACCGGCCCACTGAGGTGCAGCCCTGCTCACATGGAAGGCTGGATGTTGGGGAGGGGGGGCCGAGCAGTCCCTTGGGTCATAAGATGCCACCCAGTGGGATGTTTCTGTATTCATGGAGTGAGGTGCAGTCTGGCTTTCTGGACCAGAGAGAGGTGCAGGCTGAGGAGGGAAGCGAGGCTGGGTTTGTGCCACTCTGCCTTCTTAACAGCCCCACAGTACCCTAACCCTCACGCTCACCATCTCTTGGGACCCTCACAATACTCTGCTTGGGTGCCTCTCTTTGTCTCTCACCTGCAAGACTCTGCAGCCCGTCTATCCCTCAGACTAAAAGCTTAAGCCACCCGTGACAGGTCCAGCAGTTTTAAGGCTGTTCATGAGGCCAACTGACAGCTCTCTGGGCCACAACCACTGGGGCAGAGCCCAGTGCCCAGGTGACCACCTCTACCAGCCTGTCACCAGGAGGGGTGTGAGCAGAGCTGATGTAATAGCAGACAGCAACTGAATCTGAGGGACTCCTGGATCTAGCAGCTGGACTCCTGAGTGGATTCTGACTCAAAGCCACCCTAGTGGACAGAGTAGAAGTGCCCCACAGGGTTTGCCAAGGCTTCAAATCTTTACAGAAGCAGCCTGCCACAGCCTTCTCCTGTGCCGCACCCAATGCCTTAACCTCTGTGCTACCTGCTTAAGTGCTCCTGAACTGGGGCATGACGTAGCCCCTTCACCTGGGACCGGCTGCTCCACATCCTGAGCTCAGGGAGGGCAGGGCAAGGTGGTAGAGGTAGCTCCAGATTGCAGGGGGTAGTCACTGTATTTGGGAAGTCAGTAAATCCTGTCCCCAGTAGATTTTATCACACAGCAGTCAATTCAATTCACTTCACTGTTTGTTCCCTAAAAAGGGAGTCTGTTAGGACAGGGACCGCCAAGAAAATGAACAAGTCCTTTGTCCACTCCAAGATATGTCCTGGGTCCTTTGAGGGATGACCCACCTGGGGTTGGGAAGTGCTTCTCAATATCTAGCCTGCTTCCCTCTGGCTGCAACTGAGGCAGTTCCTTCTCTCCTTTCCCAGGAGGATTGGGGGCAAAGACTCATCGTTCTCCTCCTACAACCCAGCTTTGCCCACCCATGCTGCTACCTGCATGCCACAGTGGTTACTGCAGCTCTCCTCCCAATAGCTTTCAATCACTGTGCCATCCCAAGAAACTCTGGGCTTCTCAGGGCCTCGGTTTTCCCCACTGGGAGCTGGGTGTGTGGTCTGTGCTGCTGAGGTGGCCATGGAGCCAAGTCTAGCTCACAGGGACCTTCCGCTGGATTTCCAAGGTTGTTTATCTTAACAGGAGGAGACTGCCCATCTTTCAAGGAGCCACTGTTGGGCTCGAACTGCTAGAGAAGCACTAACCTTGGGTTAGCAGCACATGCTATGGAGCAGAGGTACTAAGTGACCCAAACAAAGACATATGTTTAAGAGAAAACGCTGGCCATACACAGCCTGCTTCTGGGCGGCCTATCCCAGCTGACATCACCAAAGCCCACCCAGAGAGGGTGCAGCCATGGCTGGCACTGTGGGGCAGAGGGTGTGCAGGGAGGAAGTGGGGCCCAGGGCCCAGGTGGGGAAATGGGAACTTTCCTGTTGGGTGTTGGTTTTCAGGCCAACTAACCCAACCAAACAGGGCAGTCTTGGGTTTGGCTTTTGAAGTGGGTGGACTTTACGAGCAAGTAAGTTGTTTTTCATGAGAATTTCCCTCCACAAACCAGGAGCTGGGTGGGTGCTAGGGTCCCATGTGGGTTCCGCCTCCGGGCTGGTAGGGCTGGTAAATTGCCAAGCCGGGTTCCCACAGCATCATACTCCCCAACAGACTGTGGTCTCAGTTCAGCCACAAATAACGCCACAGGAGGTGTGGTGCCAGGTGACACTCCTCTGAAATGGCTGCTTGTGGGGAAAGGCGGCCTCTGAGGACACATCTACTGTCCCTGTGGAGTTTAGTCACAGCAGGAGCTTCTCTGGGACCAGCAGGGTCTCAGTGGCCCTTCTGTGTGCTCGGTGGTGCAGGGAAGCCAAGGGCTGGGAGTCTCCAGAGGAATTTAGTCCTGCTCCAACCTCGGGCTCTGCCTTCATTCCTCCCTAGTAATGGTGGGGCAGGTCCCCACCCCCACCCACTTTTACGCTCCATGCACACAACCCCAGAGGCCTTCAACGCATTTCAGGGTTATAGTATTATAACAAATTCAGTCGAAATTCCCTTTACAGTTAAATAATACAGAAGACAGACAAGTTTACTGTACAAGCAAGTTGTGCATTGAAAACAAACACATCAAGCAAATTATAGTGCAAAGCAATCTCCACCTCTCCCCGAGCCCACCCTCTCCCCAGCTCTGGGCTGGTTTCATGGCAGATCTGTGAGTAGCAGGCACCAACACTCCAGCATGACAGTATGTCACAAAGGATGTGTACCCAGCAGGCTTACAGTACCACTGTATCCACCCCTCTCAGTTCCCTTGTGCTTTCTCAGTGTGTTTGCTCTGTACAACTCTAAAGCAGCCTTGTCAATAAGGGCCCCTTTTTACCAGCCCCCGGCCATCGATACCCACTATGGGCTTTAAGAACGGCCTCAGCCTAGTGGCCATCGCTTTTTCACTGGGGAAGGATGGGGCAGAGAAGGGTCAGTTTCTTTCTTGCTTGTCCCCACCTGGGTTTAGACATCGGGAGGGGGCAGTAATCTGGGGTAGGGCTACAAAGTGCTGGGCACCTGAAAGTGTCTCCCATACTGGCCCAGGGTCAGCTGCAACCACAGAGACCGTAAGTGAAGGTTCAAGGACGATGAACTTGCAGCTGCTTCCTGAAAAGGGGTGGAGAGAGCCCCTGGGTGTAATGGGTGTGTGGGACACCCTGGTAATTCTTTTTAAGAGACAGAGACAGCTTTTTCCAGGGAAGGCAGGGCAGGAGAGACTGCAGCAGGAAAGGTTTGAGTGAGATCATGGAAAGGACTTCCTAACTTGGTTTCCTATAATCTGGAGTCTCTGGCTGTTGTTCTAGGTTGTGGGTGGCATGGACTGGCCAAAAACCATTATTACAGACACAAGAACCACTAAGGAACATTTTGGAGGAGAGATTTCCAACCCCACAGAGATAATTCCTGAAGGGCACACACTGCCTCTGAAGTACTTGGGTGAGCCTGTGCACCCCAACTACTGAGGCGGCCTGTGATCCCACCTGCAGGATGAAGGGCAACCCTTCACCTCTAAGAAAAGGGGGGCTGAGGCCTTCACGACTCCTCTGTCCTGCTGTCCCAAAGCCTTGGCTTACCAGCTCACCCATTCCCCCTGAGCACCCACACAGTGAGATTCTGGCACCTCCTGTTCCATCTCCGGGGTGGGGCCTCAGTGCATCTATGGAGGCTCTGAGATCCTAAATTTCATCCCTCTCAGAATACGCTGGACTCAGGCCCTGCTCACTCTTAAAGGAGACTATGGTTTGGAAAAGCAAACTTCAGCTTCTTTTTCAAACTCTCTCAAAAATTAATTGCACTCGAGTCAGAACCGACTCCCAGCTGACCCTCTGTTGAGTTTGTGAGGCTGTAAATTACACGGGAGGAGACTGTCCATCTTTCTCCTGTAGAGCCGCTGGTGGATTCGGTTCCCAGTGAGAACACTGGCTTTGGTTCAAGACTGCTTTTAGAGTACAGCTGGTTAAAGGTGGAGGTGTCAGAGGATCAGGGGGTAGAAGCTTGGGCTGTGATCTAGGGGTGGAGCACAGCTTGGCTGGACCTGGGCGGGGCAGCGATGCTGCCGTCTAACCCAGAAACCCTTCACCCAGAGCTTTCTGCTAGGCCCTATCCTGCCACACTGCTTGCTCCAGGAACAGGAATTATGAGGACAGCTGATGTGAAAGAAGTGACTGCCCTGGACTGGGAAAGTGCACTGAGGGACGGGTCTGCAGGCGCTTCCCTGGCTTTGCGGATCTGCTACCACAGGCAGATCCACTCTGTGGTTTGGGACCCACAGACAGCTGAGATGGGGGCTGCTTCTTAGCTGCTAGGAATTGTGAGGGAGGCAGGGCTGGGAAGACTGGCTTGGGTGTTCTTGTCCCAACTCTGCCAATGATTTCCTGGGTTCTCTGATTGGGTCCCAGCCCCATCTGTATGAGGAGGGGAACCCCCCGAGGGGTGAGGGACTTCCAGTTCTGATTCCATTTGTGTCAATGCAGGGACAGGATCCAAGGGGTCTTGAGGATGGTGGAGGGGGAAGGCGGCCTGTGAACAAGGAGCCCAAACTTGGGGCAAATGCTGCCTGTTCTTACAATGGAGCGGTCCACTGTCCTAGGAGAGCTGGACCCCGGGACATTCCTAGGCATGGGGGATGGCAAGGCCAGGGAGTGTGTCAGGGGGAGGATGCACTTCCCCCAGGAATGTGGGGTGAGATGACTAGGAGCTGGGCTGGGGGCAGTGTCCTGGGGGAGGTCCTGAACCCCTCTTGCACAAAGGCGTGGCGGCAGGAGACACGCTCAGTGGCACACTGGCTCTGGACACTGGGACCACAGCTGGCCTGGACCCTAAATGCCCTTCCTGCCCAGAGCTGGGCCAGTCATATGTCAGGAAGGTTCTTGGGGTTCCTGCCTCTGGTGGGAGAAGTCCGAGTTGACCAGAGCGGTCAGTAGGGCCTCCACACTGCCTCGTCCATGCGGCCTGGTGTGCTCAAGGCCGTGGGCGAGTTGCTGTGGCTGCCGTCGGCCTCCACGCCATCGCTCTGGCCGCCAAGGCTTGGGTTCATGAGGTTGCCAGTGGTGACAGAGGTGGCGCTGCTGGTGCAGGAGGCCAGCATGCGGTTGGGGGAACGGTCGCCCCCGCTGCTGCTGCTGGCCACCATGGAGAACTGGTAGGAGCCGGAGGACGCGCCATAGTAGAGGTGGTAGGGGGACGGGTTGGCCTGGAAGGGCCCACTCTGGTTCTGCGGGGCGCCGGGGTAGGGCGGCGGGAGGTAGGTGTGGTGGAAGCGGCTGGTGGCCGGCATGCCCGCCACACCCAGGCCGCTGATGTTGGTGCCTGAGGGTGAGGCGCTGTAGGGGAAGGCGGCCGACATGGCCCCTGGGTAGTGCATCCGAGGGTCTGGGAAGCGGCTCTCTGTGAGGGCAGGCAGGGCTGAGAAGGAGCGGTCAAACTGGCGGGGGTCGGAGAAGGGGTTCAGGTCCGGGGTCCCTGTGGCAGAAAAGAGGGGTCAGATGGAGCCTGAGGGCTTTGGATCGACACAGACCATTGTGGGGACTGCAGGTCCTATGACTGGTTCTCTTTCCGTCATTCCTGTGTAGGGGCCTGGGGAGCAGTGGGGCAGGAGTCCAGGGTGAGGAGGGTATCCATTAAACCCCACTCCTGGCCTGCCTGGGGAGCACATGGCTAAGGGGTGGTGGGGGACCGCAAGGGCCTGCCAAGATGAGTCCTAGACCTGGGTCTTCCTATATTTTGACCAATGGGCTGACTTGGTCAGTGGTCGGGAAGAGGGATGAACTCACAGCAGTAGCCCAAGAAGTCTCTCTGGCTTCAAACTCTGTCCTACCCACCAAAGAAAAGGGCCATCAGGGCACCCAGAGGGGGATCACCCTGAACCCCACGCCCAGCAGCACTGTTCCTGCCACGACTGAGGCACCTTCAGGCCTCCGCTCTGGCTCTGGCTGAGGTGCTATGTGACCTTGGGTGAGACTCGTCACTTGTCTTGAGCTGAGTGTGTCTCCTAGCAGCTGGCTTGGGGTGTGGACTGGAATGGGCAGTCGTCCAAAGCTCAGGATAGAGGGACATAGGGGCAGGGTCTGCGTGGCTGGGGTCTCTTGGATCACTTAGTGCTCCCCCGCCCCCATCAAGTCCCCTGGCTCTTCAGTTCTTTCACAAGATCTCAGAGGTCAGAGGTGTCCAGTTTGTGTCCCCAACAGGAACACAGAAGGGTATGGGGGGGGTAGGAGGAGGCCTAGATGGTAGTGCCTGCACCCCAAGTGAAGCTGAGTTGGGGTTCACATCTCACCTCTGAACCAAGCGGAGTATGTGATACCATCTAACAGGAAATCTATTCTCAAAGGAAACCCAAAGCGCGACCCCAGGATGTGGCCCAGGAAACAAACTCTGTGCAAGACCTGAGCTCACGTGGCCTGCAGGGCTCAGGGTTGGCCTGCCCAGACCTGGCGCAGTCCCCTCTTGCCTGTTCCTGGAGGGTGGTGGGGAAGTACCTGCCCTCAGCAAACCTCAGAGCCTCCTGTCCTTCCCTCCCAGCAGCCCCAGGAAACCCAAGCTGGCCAGGCCACTGTCCAACAGCCAATCCTAACACTGGAAGGAAATGTTTATTTTCTTCTCCAAATTGCCCCAGCTGCTGCACAGTGGCTGAATGAGTCCTTTGAGCTGTGAGAAGCCCCCATTGTGGGCAGCCGCAGCCGGGAGGCTGGGGGCTGAGGGATGGAGGGGCTAGAGCTTTCAGTGGCCCAAGCCAGAGGGTCAAAGGTATTAACAGGCATGGAGGGGAGTGAAAGTAGGATGTACTTAGGGGATCCCCAGGATGGAGCCTGGAGGGGGAGGCCTCATTCCACCAGGAGGGGGTGGCAAGTGAGAGGAACTCTCCATCAGCCTAGTCCTGCCAACACATCCGTTTCTTCCCACTTCACAGATAAGAAAACTGAGGCCCAGAGCAGCACACTGCCAGAAAGTGGTTGAGCCAGAACTCCTAGCCAGATCCACCTGGCGACAAAGTTCATGTTCTTTCTCTGGTTTGGCAGTCAAGAGTCCCTACTCTCGCTCAGAAAGTTTAGGCCTAAGGGGTGGTTGGGTGAAGTTAGTTTCCCCAAAGCCCAGTGCTGCCAGGGCTAGGGGTTGCTGCAGGACACAGCAAAGAGGGAAAGGACTGGGTCAGCCACTGCCCACTATGGCCTGATCTCCCTAGAACAGAGGCAGGGGTGTGGACAGGAGCCTCAGGACCCCTCAGACACTGCTCGAGGCCATGTCCACCCAGCTTTGGATGGGCAGAGGCAGAAAACTCTGTCCACAGGGTTGGTGGACAGGAATCACTGTTCACATCCATTCATTTAGTTCTGGGGATCCTAACAGGTCCCCAGTATCTAGAAGAGACCTGGTTCTGCCTGGCTTTCTTATTACATCTTGGAGTCAGGCGCCACCCCTGTTCTGTCCCCAAGCTCAAGAGCTGTGAGCTCCCCCATTTTACTAGCTGGAGCTCAGAGGGGGCTTATCTGGGTTCCTCCCCAGCGTGGTGCCTGTGCAGAGACAGGCCCACCTCTTGGGGACAAGGTGGGGAACCCACTTGAGGTTCCTGGATCCACTGTGCCACTCCCTTGCCTTAGCCAGCACACTGTACCAGGCACACATGGTAGAACCTCCGTTAACTGTGACCCAGCAGAGCTCTGGGCCCAGAGGAGAAGCAAGCGCAGTAGGCTGACGCCTCTCCTACCCTCTTCTCATTCCCTTCCCTATAGCCTTGGGTGAGCACTGTGGAGACTCTGCTTCTGGCGCAAGGCTGTATGATCCTAGGGGAGTCCTTAGCTCAGCCTCTATTCACTCATCTGCCAAATGGGCTCTAACATTGCCTTGGCGGACCAAGAATGAGCAGCCACAGCCTCTGCCGTCCTGCTAGATCCCTTACACCTCCACAAACCCTGACCCCACTTGCTGGCTGAGAGAGCCTGGAGGATGTAGCACCACCACCATTGGCTGAGCACCTACTATATGCCAGGCCCCTGTGCACTCTGGGAGATCTCTAGGAGGCCTGTTTCTGCCTGTGAGTCCTTCCATGCAGAGGGGACAGAGGCCTGTTCTTGGGGAGCCCTTCTCTTGCTTATCTGGGGGAGGTGTTTTCTGGTCCTGCGTAGAACCTTGCTCAGGTCATGCTGGGTGCCTTTCCAGGGCTGGACCAGAACTTTACAAAGCTCATCTGAGCACAGTCCTTCAGCTGAGTGTCACCCCGACCCTGTGCTGAGGCACCCACCACCGCCTTCCACTTTCAAATGAACAAGCTAAGGCTTAAAGAGGGAGTCATCATATCTGCTGTGGGCTCCAGGGACTCCTGATCCTGGACAAGTTGTCTCACCCATTTTAAAGAGGTCATCACAAGATTTATGTCCATTTACCCCAGGGAACAAGGAGCAACAAGAGGTCAGGGGCTAGTCTGTTCTGTTCATGCTGAGCCTGCGGGCAGGCACTATGCACAGGGTGGGTGTCACAGTGCTTGTGTCATGACTGAATGGCACCAGCAGTCCTGGCTAGGGTTTCCCATCTATGGAGAGTGTGCAGCCCCATTTGCCGCAGCCCCTGCCAGCCATACCTTGCATGGTTGTCTGGGGCTGGCTGCTGAAGTGGCCGGTGGTGCTGAGTGAGCCTCGGGGGCTGGGTGTGCTCGGAGTCACCCGCATACGCAGCCGTTCCAGGTCTCCGAAGCGGTCGGGGAACACCTTGGTCTGGTCCTCCAGCTTCTGCCGGTGCCCTGCAAGTGATGAGAGACAAGGGGGCCGATCAGCAGCCAGTTCCTCTGGTCCTCTTACTGTCTGGGTCTCAGGGCAGATGAGAGTGCCTCACTCTGCTGGGAAGTTCTTCTTTCACTCTAATCTTGGGCCTCATAGGGAGAATCCCTCGGCCATTACTGACATCTTTTCTAAATACAGAATGACTGTATCACCCACTCCCTCCCCAGGCCTGCTGTGACCACCCACCCCACTGCACCCCTCTGTTTGAGGGGAGATGAGTGCCCTCATCTTGTAGGTGAGGCTAACAGAGAGATCCAGACCACACAGAATTTGAACTAAGATTCAAGTCAGAGCATAGTGTGACCTAGGCCTCCACACACTGTTAGGAAGAAGGAGAAACTGAGGCAAATAGGCTCAGGAAAAAGGCCCAAGAAGGCAGGCAGTATGCGGAGAGAAACCAGGAGTGCTGCTACCCACCAGCTTTGAGCACCCCAGGTCATGCCGGATGGTGCCTTTGCTGGGAAGGTTGAGGCCTCTTCTCCCTGAGCCCTGCAAGCACCTCCTTGGTCTGGTCTCAGATAAGACGCTGGGAACAAGCTGGGGACCCTTGAGCGAACAGCTGGATTTCCCCTACCTCCAGCCAGAAGTTAGGGACAGGGGATCAGTGCACCTGGATTGAGGCATCACACCTGGAGAAAACTTCCCACCGCCTCTACCCTTCACCATGTCCCCCAAAGGAAGGACTCCAAGCCAGATGCCTGGAACCCAGAGGAGCTGGGGAATCCAGGTGGTCACCCCTTTGCCCCTGGACAGCCAGCCTTGGGCTAGGGGGCAGCTCCTGAGTGACACCAACCTTGTAGGACCCTCTCACCACCTACCCATCCCTCAAGTATTTATTTCATGTTTCATGGTTCACAAGCAACACATGGTTAGTTAAAAACAAATAAATATTAAATAAATTATTCAAAACAAAACAAAACAAAACAATGTAACTCATTCCTTGGAGTCTGTACTGACTCACAACTGACCCTCCAACAGGTTTTCAGAGGCTGTAAATCACACAGGAGGGGATGGACCACCTTTCTCCCACTGAGCAGTTGGTGGGTTCAAATGATGTGTTTTGGGATTGGCAGACAGAGCAACTCCTTACCTGCCAGGCCACCGGAGATCTCTAAAATTTCTTGTTGTCGTTGTTAGGTGCCGTTGAGTGAGACTCATAGCGACCCTATGAACAAAACGCTCTGAACCCTGTTCTATCCTGTGCCATCCTCACACTTCCTGATACACAAGAGTCCACTGCAGCAGTCACCATGTTAGTCTACCTAGTTGAGGGTCTTCCTCTCCTTCACCGACCCTCCATCTACCCAGAATCATGCTCTCTAAGGAATAGCCCCTCTTTGCCACATGTCCAAAGTAAGTGAGGTGAAGTCTCCTCATTCCTGCCTCCCAAGAGCATGCAGGCTGTACCTTCTCCAAGACATATCTGTTCATTCTCTTGGCCGTCCTTGGGATGTTCAGTGCTCTCCTCTGACATCACAGTGTCAATTATTTTTCTGTCATCCATATTCACTGTCTAGCTCTTGGATGCATCGCTAGTAATCAGAAAGAGCATGGCCTGAATCAGATGCACTCTGGTCCTCAAAGTGACATCCCTATTCCTCAATAATTTGGAAAGGTCTCTAACTGCAGATTTACCCAGTGCAATGTGTCTCCGTATTTCCTGACTGCTGGTACCAAGGGTGTTAATTGTGGATCCAAGCGAGATGAAGCTGTTGACAGTTTCAACCTCCTCTCCATCCATCATGACACTCTGCCCATTGGTCCAGTAATAAGAATCTTTGTTTTCCTGACACTGAGATGCAATCCATACCTAGAAGAAGGCTAATTGCCCCTGGCCTATCAGTTTGAAGATTTTTCTTTCTAAACTTTTTATAGCTTTACATGCATAAACTTTCTTGCGTCATCTCAGCTTGTGGGTCTCACTCTATCTCTTTATTTCCCTTGTCCGTAAAATGGGCAGAATAACTCAGCTCTGAGAAATAACAGTTTCTGTGAAACTTCAGAATACTTCCTGGACTTCTGGTGGCCTAGTGTTAAGAAACTACACTGCAATACCAAAAGCAAGCAGTTCCAATCCACCAGCTGCTCCTTGGGAGAAGGATGGACAATCTCCTCTGGTGCGATTTACTATCTCTGAAAATCCACTCGAGGTCAGCTCCAACTCAGTGGTACACAACAACGAGAAGGTTCATCAAGCGTGACAAGAACACTCACTGCTATGCCAGTAACTGTCCTTCTTTCTTGTCACATCTTATCGGAGATGGGAGCTCATTCAGTCACTCTCCAGGATGGACACTTAGGGTGTTTCCAAACTTCCTCTGTTAGTTCCTTAACGCATGCTCAGAACATCCCTGGTCACATTTCCTGTGTAAGGTCACACTAGCCAGGTGAACACTGGGAAAAGGCCTGCTCACGTGGAGGGCAGTGCCTTCTTGGTCCACCTTATTAACAACCGGCCACCAAGCACCATGAGAACGTTGGCCCGGCTGCCTCACCAGCTCCCAGAGGGATGAGGAATCTTACCTGAGGTCACACAGCTGTGAAGGGGGCAGCATTTCCTGGCCCTGGGTCCCACGGGAAGGAAGGGAAGGGAAGTAGGAGGAAGAAGAGAAGGTTTGCTTGGGTTCTTGTGTCTGGGTGATGCGCAGACTTTTCAAGAATGACAAAGAGGGCAGAACGAGGATGAGGTGAAAGCTAGAATGGAACTCCCCACTGTCCTTCCCTGCCTGGACAGATGATCTTGGGACAGGGTAAAGGGAATGCTGACCACTGCTGGGATAAGGAGAATCTGACAGTCTCAGAGTGGGCCTGCTTTCTGATTTTTAAAGCAGAGTGCAGAATACTTTGGTATCTGCAGACCTTTAGCTACACTTCTGCCTCAACTGAGCCCTTAGTACCATGGTGGGAGTTCTGGTATCACAGGGGTTCAACAAGTTACTGAGAATTGGGGAATCCCACTTTCTCCTCTGATGATGCCTCAGGCTGGGAGCTCATGAACGGGGGGCAGCAGGAATAGGACCACTTGGCCTTTTGTGGCTGCCTCCCAATAACCTTGAGACTCAAAGGGGAAAACATGGGCTAAGGTGAGCTCGGCTGGATTCCTACAGGGGTTGGGAAAGTATGTAGATGGGACGAGCAGGACAACGTGGAAAATATGCTTTGTAGGAAGGACAGCTGCCTTTCAGTCCAGGTGCTAAGTGCCCTGGTGGACGTGGGCATGGTGTGGCCAGAAAATCCCATTTTCAGAAGCCAGTCACAAGCCTGCTGTTGTGTGCAATTTCCTGCACTGGATAAGCTGGCAAGTAATTAAAAACCTTAACAGCACCACCAACACTACGTGGGTCGGTCAGTTTGTCATCTCTATGTGAGAGATTTTGCTTTCAGGTTGACTACAAAAACTCAGCCACTGAGGATAGATTCAGGGTCCTCGGGAGTAACTGGTCCCTAGGGAGTGTCACCAGGCTCAGCCCACAGCCTTCGTGGACCTCCAAGGAAATGCGGCTGCCCTTGCCTCTGGACACAGCAGGGAGATGTGGACAAGCTGAGGATGAATGAATTCAGAAGCATCTGGGCAGGCGGGAAGCTGAGTGGATGGACGTCGAGACTGGCCTGCAGCGGCCTGGGTATGAAGGATCTGGGGTCTTAGTCAACCACAAGCTTGAAGTAAGTGAGCCAGTGAGGCTATGGCAGAGCTGGCACGAAAGCTCCGGATACTGGTACCACTGGTGAAGAAAGCCTCCTGTGCCTGAATCACGTAGTTTTTCAAAGAGTGTTCACAGTTCCTCCTGGGGCCTGGCAGGAGGAGGGCAAAGGGTACAGGCTGCCAAGGTTCGGGAGGATCTGCCTTGCCACTAGCAGCATGGTGGCCCACTCAAGTCACACACTCGTCTCCTCACCCAAAGCTGCTGTGTCTTCTCCTGCCTCCCTATCAGGCTGTGTTGCTGGTCAAACAAGGTCTACCACATGGGCTACCTCTACCATGACGGTCACTTCTACTCATGCCTGTGCCCAGGGAGGCGCCCTGGCCACCCCTACATCAGAGAAGAGGCCTGTGAGGGCAGCATAGTGAAGTCTGCACTTGGAGTCACAGCCCCAGGGCACGGGCGTTCACTCCCTAGGCTCCACTGGCTCCATGTCCAGTGCTCCTTCTCCCAACAGGCTCTTTGTGCTCCCATTGTCCAGATGGGACAGCTGAAACTGAATGAAATCTTAACTAAGATTGACAGGCCCAGGGTATGAACTTGGTAAGAGGAGCCTGGAGCTCAAGTGTCTGCCATTATGCTATCGTGTCTTACTGGGCAGACTTCCGGGTAGAAGGGAGTTTCACAGCGTTGTAGGAATTGCTTCCTTGTTGCTGTGGGACAGAGACACTGGGGAGGGGCCGATGGGAGCCAAGGCGTCTCCACATGGCCAGGGCGCCAGCGAGTCTCGGAGCCACGGGGTTGGGCCTTCACATAGGAGCAGACCCATACTTCCTGTGCCTGAGGACAAGAAGATGGGTCTGCAGAAAAGGCCTCTTTCATTCAGTTACCCACAGTGGGAGCTGGGTGGGAAGCCATGGCCCTGGCACACTCGACCACTGATTAGTCTAGGTGTGACCCTTCTGTACTCTGTACCTCAGTTTCCCTTCTGCTCATTAAGGTTCCTCTAGCTCTGAAAGTCTCTGGTTTAAAACTGTAGGGATTGGCTGGTGGTCACACTGGGGACCCTAAAAAGGAAGAGGGCAGGATACTTATTCTGGGGTCCAGGCACAACCTTTCCATAGCTGTTCTTCCCAATTTCTCCCCAACGCATGTGCGCGCGCATCAGCTCTGGCACAAACCCAGCTAGAAGGGGTTCTACCTAGTATCTCTTCTTCAGGAAGCCCCCTTCTCCCCACCATGTCTACAGGCAGGCCTAGCTAGTGCTGTAAAAATCCAGATGGTGCCAAGCACCCTGAACTCTTTCTCCATCCCAGGGA